TGCGTAATCTGCCCAGCAGGAAAAAAAAGCATCGCAGCAAATGGATCAAAGGCAAACTGCGTAGGTGTGAACCCAGCCTAACGGGGACATAGACAGCAATAAATACTGGACAGGAGTTCTAATCCCTCTCCTCTATACAAAAAAAAAACATTTTTCCTTCAGTTATTCTTTAAGCTGAATGTCTTTACTAGATCACAATGTAACACAACCAAGGAGACAGAATTATTCGAGAAGCCAGAAATAGCTCAATAGCAGTCCATTGAAATCAATCAGGGATGGTTTATTAAAAAGAAACCTCGGGATTGCAGAGAAAGAACAGTTCTCCTATGTCAGCTACAGTATATGTAGTGGAAGAATCCACATCATCAAGCTTGTTCCAGGCAGAATAAAAAAGAAACAAAAAAAAACATCAATTACGAATGTAGTTGAGAATTCATTAAAAAAAAAAAAAAAAAAATTTATATATATAGTAGTTTTTTTAAATTATTACTTATTTATATATATACACAATGTTTTATATATATATAATAATAAAAAAATATATATTTTTTAATTATTTGTATATATATATATATATAATAAAAAAAAATATTATATATATATATATATATATATATGATTTATTAATGAAAAAAAAAAAATTATATATATATATAAATATATATAAATAATAATATAAATAAATAATATTATATATATATATATATATATATGATTTTTTTTCCCATTTATATATATATATATATATATATATATATGTATGAATAATAATGAAAAAAAATATATATATATTTTAATATGAGGCCACCACATTATATATTATATACAGGGGAGTTGCTTTGTAGCTCACACAGGATAGAAGAGTGATGCATTGAAACATTATTTTATTAACATAAAATAAGGGGCACGGTGATGAGCACATTTTATGTTAAGGGGCGCTTTATGTTAAGGGGGGGCTCCTTATAAAAGGGGGCACTCTGATGGGGGCGCCTGATTTATGAGGGAAGTGTGATGGTGGCACCCAATGTAATAAATTACTCTGGAGGGGGAACCTGATATAGGGGGGAACACTAATAGGGACATTTATTTTCGGACCTCAACAAGAAGAAGATTTTAGTAACCGGATCTCCTCCTTGAATTTTAATTCAATACCCCTGATTTAATGAATATGTTGGTGAAGGAATGAGAATGGGGGTTGGTTGGAACCAGGAACAGCAAAATACAATCATAAGCAGATTAATGGACAGCACAGCGGCTAAATGGTTAGCACTTCCCCCTGGCAGTACTAGTGTTGTTGGTTCAAATCCCAACCACAGCACAACCTGCTTGGGGTTTGCATGTTCTCCCTGTGCCTGTGTGAGTTTTCTCCGGGTACTCCAGTTTCCTCCCATATTCCAAAGACATGCTGGTAGGTGAATTGGCTCCTGTCTAAATTGTCCCTAGTATGTGTATGTATGAATGTGAGTTAGGGACCTTAGATTGTACGCCCCTTGAGGGTTAGGGACTGATGTGAATGTACAATATATATGTAAAGCACTGCTTAAATTGACGGCGCTATATAAGAACCTGAAATAAATAATAACTAATAAATAATATAGCAAACTATAAGCAGAATAAACTTGTAAACCTATAATAAATAAATTACACTCCAGCTCTCAATACAAGGGCCCTGCAGATGAACACTACAGCCAGAAGGTGGCAGCGTTCACCTGCAGGTTTTCATTTTTGTCAATGGAGCTTCCAGAATGCATGTGATCATTATGTGCTGACAGTGATCACCTGATCAAGAACCTGTTTGATTGGTCCCCAATTGTTAATGGGGACAGTCGGGATTGACAGCCAGCAGCCGCTTAAAGTGTCAGCTGCTGGGTCTGCAAGGGGAGAATGTATATGAAGATATCTTCTTCACATGCCCAGTGCTGGGGAATGTGAATATACAGGCTGCGGGCAGGAAGGGGGTATCTAGTGACAGAGTGGCTTTAACACAATCTCAGCGTGCACCTATCAGCAGCCGGCTCTCATCACCCGCTCACAGTTATTTACATTGTGCATTGCATTCAAAACGACCTACCTGGCAGCTAATCCCTATAAATATTTATTCTGCAGCTTGTGCTCGGCTCCTGCGCTCCCAGTTTATTTTAGGAGTGGCTCGGGTCTCATGAGACATTGTGGAATTAAATTATAGGGCAATGGATGAGAAACCTGGCCGGCCTCCAAGCAGAGTCTGGGGGAGGAAAAAAGTTTACTGAAAAAAAAAAAAAATAATAATAATATATATATATATAAATGTATTCTTCTAATTTCACTAGTAAAGACATATGAGCTATAATAACATTGGATTGTGGAGGGCGACACATGTTGATTCTAAGCATAGATAAAAAGAATGTTCACCATTTGTATAGATGGGGGGCCTCCAGACTGCGGCCCATGGGCCAAATCCAGCCTGCTGCAAGATTTTATGTGGCCCTCTGATATAGGAGGTGGATAGGGATTCCAATGTAAGGAGAGACTGATGGGAACCCTGATGTAAAGAGGAACTCAAGTGGGGACCCTGATGTAAGGGGGGACTCGATTGGGGACTTCGATGTAAGGAGGGACTCTGATGTAAGGGGGCACTCTGAAGAGGTCTTTGATGTAAGGGGGACTCTGATGGGGACACTTATGAAAGTGTGGACAATAATGTAAGGGGGGACTCTCAATGGGACTCTGATGTAAGGGGGGGCTCTGATGGAAACTCCAATGTAAAGGGAGACTCTGATGGGAACCCTGTTGTAATGAGGAACTCTGAGGGGACTCTGAGGTAAGGGGGGCTCTATTGGGAACTGCAACGTAAGCAGGACTCTGATGTAAGGAGGCACCACTGTAAGGGGGGACTCTGATATAAGGGGATACTCTGAAGAGGATTTTGATGTAAGGGGGAATGTGATAGGGACTCTGATGTAATGGGAGACTCTTATGAGGACTCTGATGTAAGGGGAGACTCTGATGGGAATTCCAATTTAAGGGGGGACTCTGATGTAAGGGGGTGCTCTGAAGAGGACTTTGATGTAAGGGGGACTTCAATGTAAGGGGGACTCTGATGGGAACCCTGATGTATAGAGGAACACTGATGGGGATTCTGATGTAAGAGGGGACTCTGATAGGAACTCCAATTTAAGGGGGGCTCTGTACAGAGGCATCCCTGCAAGGGGGCACTCTGAAGAGGACTTTGATGTAAGGGGGAACTTCAATGTAAGGGGGGACTGTGATGGGAACCCTGATGTAAGGAGGAACTCAGATGGGGACTCCGATGAAATGGGGGACCCTGATGGGGACTCTGATGTAAGGGAGAACCCTAATGTAAGGAGGAAGTCCAATGATGACTCTGATGTAAGGGGGGGACTCTGATGTAAAGAGGCATCCCTGTAAGGGGGCACTCTGATGTAAGGGGAGACTCTGATGGGAACTCCAATGTAAAGGGGGTTCTAAAGTATAGAGGCATCCCTGTAAGGGGGCACTCTGATGTAAGGAGGGACTATGATGGGAACGCCAATGTAAGGGGGGACTCTGATGTAAAGAGGCATCCCTGTTAGGGGGCACTCTGATGTAAGGGGAGACTCTGATGGGAACTCCAATGTAAAGGGGGTTCTAAAGTATAGAGGCATCCCTGTAAGGGGGCACTCTGATGTAAGGAGGGACTATGATGGGAACGCCAATGTAAGGGGGGACTCTGATGTAAAGAGGCATCCCTGTTAGGGGGCACTCTGATGTAAGGGGAGACTCTGATGGGAACTCCAATGTAAAGGGGGTTCTAAAGTATAGAGGCATCCCTGTAAGGGGGCACTCTGATGTAAGGAGGGACTATGATGGGAACGCCAATGTAAGGGGGGACTCTGATGTAAGGGGCACTCTGAAGAGGACTTTAATGTAAGGGGGGACTTCAATGTAAGGGAGGACTCTGGTTGGAACCCTGACGTAAAGAGGATCTATGATGAGGATTCCGACATAAGGGGGAAATCTGATGGGGACTCCAATTTAACTGGGACATGTAAGGGGACATCGATGTAAGGGGGGCACTCTGATGTTGATTCTGTTCTAAATCACATCATTCTGATGATAAAAAAAGTAAAACCTATTAATTATTTACATTTGATGGGGGACTCTGATGTAAGGGGGGCTCTGAAGGGAACTTTAATGTACGGGGTGGGGCTCTGATGGAGACTCTGGGGTAAGGGGGGATTCTGATGTTTGGGGGGACCCTGGTGGGGGGGAATTCTTTTCTGTTCTAAATCACATCATTCATTTAAATCTGATTTGTTAATTTATAAAACATATTTCCGGCTCATGAATACTGGCAAAGCCTGAGATGTGTCCCTGGTGGAGGAGTTCGGAGACCCCGGAATGGAAGAGAAGTGAACACACTGTGTGAACCCAGCCATAGAGGAGCAAATGTAAAGCTGAAGTTTAGTTCAAATAAAAAATAAGCAGCTTTAGTTACATGCCATACCTGGAATGAAGTTCCACCATGCGCAGGCTGCCGGAGTCTGTAAAAATCTTCACGGCGGGGGTGTCCTGTCCTCTTCCTGCTGCTGAACGTTCGGCACTGCGGAGGTTAAAGTGACACTAGCAAATCCAAACAGAAGTGGGTTACTACAACCAATGTATGGGGCTTAAAGCACATACACTCACCGTGCCGACTAGCAGTCTCCATCATAGCTAGGAATCAGGTCTGTCTTCAGACTGAAACGCGTTAGAAAACGTTTGCCATGAAACATTTTTTGGAATTGAAAGTGACACTAAACTGTGATTTAAACAGAAAGAAAAACTTATCTTAAAGGCTCTGCTTATCTGACTCCTCCCTCCCCCCCCCCCCCCCTCCACTAGCACATTTGACACCTTTTTGGGGGGGAGCGGGTACCTAGTTTTGACAGATACCCGCTCCCACTTCCATCTCAGTTCAAGCTGAGCCGGAAGTTCAGGTTTATTACTGTGTTAATGTGTTACTAAACCCAGGACCCTGCATCCACTCTATCCGCTCTCCCCGGACCCTGCATCCACTCTATCCGGTCTCCCCCCGGACCCTGCATCCACTCTATCCGGTCTCCCCCCCCCCGCATCCACTCTATCCGCACATTCCCCGCACCCCCTTTTATCCGGGGCATCCACTCTATCCGGTCTCCCCCGGCATCCACTATCCGCTCTCCCCGGACCCCGCATCACTCTACCGCTCTCCCCGGACCCCGCATCCTCTATCCGCTCTCCCCGGACCCCGATCCGGAAGCTTCCCCCGGACCCCGCATCCACTCTATCCGCTCTGGACCCCGCATTCCACTCTATCCGCTCTCCCCGGACCCCGCATCACTGCTCTCCCCGGACCCCGCATCCACTCTATCCGCTCTCCCCGGACCCCGCATCCACTCTATCCGCTCTCCCCGGACCCCGCATCCACTCTATCCTCTCCCCGGACCCGCATCCACTCTATCCGCTCTCCCCGGACCCCGCATCCACTCTATCCGCTCTCCCCGGACCCCGCATCCACTCTATCCGCTCTCCCCGGACCCCGCATCACTCTATCCCCGCTCTCCCCGGACCCCGCATTCACTCTATCTCCGGTCTCCCCGGACCCCGCATTCACTCTATCTGGTCTCCCCGGACCCCGCATTCACTCTATCTGGTCTCCCCGGACCCCGCATTCACTCTATCTGGTCTCCCCGGACCCCGCATTCACTCTATCTGGTCTCCCCGGACCCCGCATTCACTCTATCTGGTCTCCCCGGACCCCGCATTCACTATATCTGGTCTCCCCGGACCCCGCATTCACTCTATCTGGTCTCCCCGGACCCCGCATTCACTATATCTCGCTTCACTCTATCCTCCCCGGACCCTGCATTCACTATATCCGCTCTCCCCGGACCCTGCATTCACTACATCCGCTCTCCCCCGGACCCTGCATTCACTATATCCGCTCTCCCCGGACCCTGCATTCACTATATCCGCTCTCCCCGGACCCTGCATTCACTATATCCGGTCTCCCCGGACCCTGCATTCACTATATCCGGTCTCCCCGGACCCTGCATTCACTATATCCGCTCTCCCCGGACCCTGCATTCACTATATCCGGTCTCCCCGGACCCTGCATTCACTATATCTGGTCTCCCCGGACCCTGCATTCACAATATCTGGTCTCCCCGGACCCTGCATTCACTCTATCTGGTCTCCCTGGACCTGACATTCACTATATCTGGTCTCCCCGGACTCGGCATTCACTCTGTCTGGTCTCCCCGGACCCTGCATTCACTCTATCTGGTCTCCCCGGGCCCTGCATTCACTATATCTGGTCTCTCACAGTACAGAACAACATGGAAATGCAATTATTTTAGTAAATATAAACTACTAAATACCTTTTCCCATCAGCAGTCTTATGACTTCTGTCAGTGTCCAGCTGGGCATGGTTAAAGCTTGTAGGAAGAGTTTTCATTCTGCTCTAGGAGGATGCAGATCCCCTGACCTGGACATTGCTGATTGGCCCTGTGCTGATCACATGCACTCTCCCAAGAAAAAAAAACCTCCCCTGCAATAGACACCAAACCGAGCATGTGCAGAGTTACTCCATACGCTATGTCTTATCACGAGATAAGAGAAGGACACTGGAAGAGGGGGAGGATCAGAGAAGACAGGATCAAACAGCCTTTTTACAAGATGCAGAGGATTAAACCCTTAGGTTCCACAGTGAGTAATACAAGCATGCTTTACTGCATCTACAGACTGATTGTATTGTTGTGGGTTTAGTAACACTTTAAATTTCAGCATCAAATGTTGACAATTTCCAAAGAAAATCTTACTAATCATAACAAATAAAAGAAATGATACATTGTAACGTTGGATTCTATTATTATAACATTAGATTCCATTATTAAACATAGAAAAGTGATGGCAGAAAAAGACGGAGTGGTCCTTCGAGTCTGCCCGGTTTTGTTTTTTTGGGAGGGGGGTGTTTTTTTTGTTTTGTTTTGCTTTTTTTTTTTACTTTTTTGTCTGAGTATATTATAATATTAGATTCTATGATTGTAACACTAGATTCAGTTATTATGACATTGGATTCCATGATTGTAACATTGGATTCCATGATCGTACATTAGGATTCCATGATCGTGACATTAGATTCCATGATCGTGACATTAGATTCCATGATCGTGACATTAGATTCCATGATCGTGACATTAGTTTCCATGATCGTAACATTGGATTCCATGATCGTAACATTGGATTCCATGATCGTAACATTGATTCCATGATTGTAACACTGGATTCCATGATTGTAACATTGGATTCCATGATTGTAACATTCGATTCTATGATTGTAACATTGGATTCCATGATTGTAACATTGGATTCCATGATTGTTGGACATTGGATTCCATGATTGTAACATTGATTCCATGATTGTAACATTGATTCCATGAATTCCATGAATGTGACATTGGATTCCATGACTGTGACATTGGATTCCATGACTGTGACATTGGATTCCATGATGTGACATTGGATTTCATGAATGTGACATTGGATTCCATGAATGTAACATTGGATTCCATGATTGTAACATTGGATTCCATGATTGTGACATTGGATTCCATGAATGTAACATTGGATTCTATGATGTAACATTGGATTCCATGATTGTAACATTGGATTCCATGATTATAACATTGGATTCCATGAATGTATAACATTCTATTCCATGATTGTAACATTGGATTCTGTGATTTAACATTCGATTCTATGATTATAACATTCGATTCTATGATTATAACATTCTATTCTATGATTGTAACATTCTATTCTATGATTGTTCAACATTGGAACATTCTATTCTATGATTGTAACATTCTATTCTATGATTGTAACATTCTATTGTAACATTCAATTCCATTATTGTAACATTCGATTCTATGATTGTAACAATGTAACAAATACAACAAGGACAATCGTCGATCTCATCCTACCACCTAGGTGCCGATCAGAGGAAGGGGCCCCAGTGGCCCCCCAGGGCTGTGTATGTCCATCCCCATGGTCTGTAGAGCGTGTCAGCCCTCCTGTGTGTGGATCCTCAGCCCAGCCTCCCTGCCCCTCCTGCTGCACCTCTCATGTAAACAACTTTGCTATATTTACACCAGTGGGCAGGAATATGGGGCACACATGCCAGATTGTCACCCACATGTCAGATGTTAACCCTTCCCCGACCACTCCGTGCCACCCTCCTCCCCCACCAGCCATGCAGGGGTTAATTTCTCGCCACCAACCTGTGTTCAGGGCAGGGTGCGGATCCCCCGGTGCCATCCTCCGCAGGTCCGATCTGCAGTGCCATGCCATGGCGGGATAGGGAAGGATTCCCCCCGTGCCAGCTGTGCCCTCTGCCATGCAGTGCCATGCACTGGGCGGGGAGGTACGCCCCCCTGGCGGTGGGGATGGGGCTGTGCCAGGCGTAGTGCCCCCGTCCTCTGGCCCCCTTACCGGCGCTGTCGGTGCCCAGATCTACCCGGGGCCGGGGTGGTGACGCAGCAGCCGTAACGTGACTGGCGCCATGTTTCTGTTTTTATTAAATCTCTCCCCAGCCATGTGATGGAAAGAGGAAAGAAAACTTCCGGGTCTCATGACAGGAAAATAACAAAAAGCACATGAGCCGGGCAGTGTGGGGGCTGGGATGGGCAAAAGGCACTAAGGGGGCTGGGGTGGGCACTGAGGGGGCTAGGATGGACAGCAGGAACAAGCCAGGCACCGAGGGGGCCAGGATGGGCACTGAGGGGGCCAGGATGGGCAAAAGGCACTGAGGAGGCTGGGATGGGCACTGAGGGGGCTGGGATGGGCACTGAGGGGCTAGGATGGACAGCAGGGACAAGCCAGGCACTGAGGGGGCCAGGATGGGCAAAAGGCACTGAGGAGGCTGGGATGGGCACTGAGGGGGCTGGGATGGGTACTGAGGGGCTAGGATGGACAGCAGGGACAAGCCAGGCACTGAGGGGGCCAGGATGGGCAAAAGGCACTGAGGAGGCTGGGATGGGCACTGAGGGGGCTGGGATGGGTACTGAGGGGCTAGGATGGACAGCAGGGACAAGCCAGGCACTGATGGGGGTGGGATGGGCAACAAACATTAGCTGGGCACTGATGGGGGGCACTGAGGAGGTTGGGATGGGCAGCAGACATGAGATAGGCAGTGGGGGGCTGGGATGGGCAGCTGTCATGAGGTGGGCACTGAGGGGGTTGGGATGGGCAGCAAACATGAGGGGGCACTGAGGAGCTGGGATCTGCAGCAGACATGAGATGGGCACTGAGGGGGCTGGGATGGGCAGCAGACATGAGATAGGCATGAGGAGCTGGGATCTGCAGCAGACATGAGATGGGCACTGAGAGGGCTGGGATGGGCAGCAGACATGAGATAGGCACTGAGGAGGCTGGGATCTGCAGCAGACATGAGATGGGCACTGAGAGGGCTGGGATGGGCAGCAGACATGAGATAGGCACTGAGGACTGGGATCTGTAGCTGACATGAGATGGGCACTGAGGGGCTGGGATGGGCAGCAGACATGAGATAGGCACTGAGGGGCTGGGATGGGCAGCAGACATGAGATGGGCACTGGGATGGGCAGCTGGAGCTGGGCACTGGGGGGCTGGGATGGGCAAAGACATGAGATAGGCACTGAGGGGGTTGGGATGGGCAGCAAACATGAGATAGGCACTGAGGAGGCTGGGATCTGCAGCAGACATGAGATGGGCACTGAGAGGGCTGGGATGGGCAGCAGACATGAGATAGGCACTGAGGGACTGGGATCTGTAGCTGACATGAGATTGGGGGCAGCAGACATGAGATGGGGAGGGGGTTGGGATGGGCAGCAGACATGAGATGGGCACTGAGGGGGTTGGGATGGGCAGCAGACATGAGATGGGCACTGAGGGGGTTGGGATGGGCAGCAGACATGAGATGGGTTTTTTAGTCCTTGGACATGACCTGAACTCTCAGCATTATATGGTTGCTTTATTTTTGACTTTCAGAGACAAGATGTGTCCATGAAACGTGCTGAGGGGTTGCATAAATATTATCAGTCCCTGAATTGCAGAGGCTGTTCCTAACAGGTGAAACATTGTCCTTGGAAATTCATTTAATTTGCAATACTGTATAGTTACCATCAGTCCTTATATTCCAGGGACATCCTTATAGCTAAAAAATGTGTTTCTGGGATGTTCTTGTCTCAAGAAATCCTCAATTTTCAGGACAGCATTGCCACCATATGTCCCTGACTTTGAGTTACGATGTAAGGCTGGAAGTGTCCCGATGTTTTACCAATGGCATAGTTATTAGTGGTCCATGAATTGCAGGGACAGTTCCTCATAGGTATTGCATAATCACCATTTGTCCCTGGCTTGCAGAGACCGCAAGATATATTTCTTGAATTTTCTAGTCTTTGGGAATGTTTCTAGTTTGCCTAGTTATTATCAGTCCCTGAACTGCAGAGACAGATCCCCACAGGTCAGATGTGTCCTTGGAATTCTCTTGTTCCTGGAAATGAACTTAATTTGCAGTACTGTATAGTTACCATCAGTTCATATATTCTAGGGACTTGGATTTGGTCCTGGAATGTCCTCAGTTTTGCAGCTCTATGCTCCTGACTCCCAGAGATGAAATGTGTCCCATTGTATAATTATTATCAGTCCATGAATCACAGGGACAGTTCCTCACAGGTATTGTGTAGCAGCTATCTGTCCCTGGCTTGCAGAGACTGCCCTTAGAGGTGAAAATATATTCTTTG